GAGGGCGCCCGGCTCGGGTCTGACTGCGGCGGCTGGGCCCGGGATCTGAGCAGAAAGGGAGGGCGCAGGGCGCGATGTGAGAGTTTGGGGAGTTCATGGCCCAGAGCGACTTAGGGAGGGAGCGCTCCACCCGGAGCGCCCGTTGCCAAGGGAACAGTTTGGGGATCACTGGCTGGAGTTGCGCCCGACCGCTCTCCTGGCGGGCGGATTTAGCCACTTCCCTCTCCACCCTGCTCCTCCCTCTGCGGTCCCCAAACTGGGAAGGCGCGAAGCCCTGGCTGTCACCCTAGATTTCACCTCTTCTCCCCCAAATGGTCACCAGTCCTGCTGCCTTTTTCTCCTCATCAGCCCAGATGTCTGCCCCTCCCGCAGGGCCACCTGCCCTGGTTCAGTCGCCACCCCTTCCCCTCTGGCCTTCCGGGACTGTTTTCCCTGGGTCTCCCCAGCCCCCTGATTTGTGCTCTCTCTCACCCGTCTCCCCAGATCTCTAGGTGACCTGTCCAAGTGTATACCTCTGACCACGTCCCTCCCCTGTGTACACCCCGAGGCCCATGGCAAACCCCAGCCTCTGTTCCCAGGAATGTGGGCTCAGGGGCTATCCCCACCCTGGGGTCCTCCGGCCCCCTGGTCCAGGAGGGGTCTCTATCTGCTGCCCCAGGGCACCTGCGGAGGGGGCTACAGATAGCAGGTCTCTTAATGAGATCTCCTTCACTTTCTATTATTGGTTCTCAGGTTTTTCCTAGAGAAGACAAAGGTGATACCATGGTGTCAATTACTGAGCTTTTAAAAAGCACCTGCCAGGCATTCCACAGGGTCCCCTGGCCTGTTCCTGCCACCGAGAAGGTGGCCTGGCTTTGCAGGGAGCCCTGTGCTCAGGCCCTGGCCCTGGTCCAGAGGCATCGCCCCCTCCACCCCCCTCCTTGCTGTTCTGCACCTGCTCCTCCCTCGGGAAGCCAGTGCCGAACGTTCTGATAGAAGATTGTTGCTCGGCTCTCAAAGAAAGTGCTTTGAAAACCTGAACATAAATGCTCCCTGTTAACCTATCCTCCCTCTCTCTCCTCCTGCAGAGGTGAGCCAATAGGCACTTACCCCATTTCCCACACGGTCGCCACCTGCTCTGTCCAGTTCAGTAGCCAGAGCCACGTGTGGCTGTTTAAACATAAACATGTCAAGTGCTCGGTGGCCCCTGTGCTGATGGCTGATGTATTGGAAGCCCGGACCATAGAATATTCCCATCCCCAGGGACAGTTCTCCTGCAGGTTTGCTGGAAGGAGAGAGGGTGAAGGGCGGAGTGGACAAGGGGCTTCTAGAGGGCCATTCGTCCCCAGTGCTTCCGGAGGGCCCCCTGGGGGCTCTGGGGGCTCCGGACACAAGAGCACAGGGCAGTCCCTGCTCGTAGGAGACCTGCCTTCTGGGACAGGAGAAGGGCACTAGGTAATGCTGTCGCCCTGGTGTGACAGGTGGTGGTTGAGGCGACAGAGAGCAATACAGCGGGCGAAGGGGATCGAGAGAGGGCGACGAGTGCCCTCCAGACAGGGTGGCCAGGGAGGCGCTTTGAGGAGGCGGCCCGTTGAGCACAGCCCTCCCTGTATGGGATGAATGAGGTCCAGGTCATGTTGGAGAAGAGCTTTCCAGGCTGAGATAATAGTGAGACCAAGGCCATTGGGGGGTCTGCTTGGTGGGGTCCAGGGCTTCAAGGAGGCCTGTGCAGCAGGAGCAGAGCAGGGGGAGGGCAGGGGTGAGGTCAGAGGGTGAGGAGGGGCCAGGAAAGGCCCCACAGGAAGAGAGGAGCCAGTGGTCGGGCCTCCAGCTGGTACTCTGAGTGGGATGGAGGCCATGGGAGCAGGCACGTGACGTGCTCTGAGCCGCCCTATTAAAGCATCCCTGTGGTGGGGTGAGAATAGAGCACAGGGCAGCGGAGGGGGCCAGGAGACCAAGAGAGGAGGCAGGTGGAGACCAGGTGGGCGATGGAGACGAGCTGGACAGGGCGGTGAGCGCTGCTGAGTTGTGGGAATGTTTTGAAGGTAGAGTCGAGGCAGTGGGATTTGCTGGGAGTGGGTGTGGGTTGACAGAGAGGAGTCAAGGACGTACTAGTAAGTGAAGACCTGGGCCTGAGCAGATGGAAGGCTGGGGTGCCCTCAGCTAACTCGTGGAAGCCTCTCACGGCAGCGCCTCCGTGTCTGCCGCCCTCCTGCATCAGCACCTCTGTGCTCAGCTGCCCCTCCTGCGCGTATTTGCTCTACAAGCTGTATTTCTTTTTCTTTTTTAAATATACTAGAGGCCCGATGCATGAAAAATTGTGCAAGAGTAGGCCTTCCTTCCCCCGGCTGCCAGCACCGGCTTCCCTCTGGCACCTGGGACCCAGGCTTCCCTCACAGCCCCAGCTTTGTCTGAATGACATCCAGTCTAATTAGCATATTACCCTTTTATTGTTGTAGACTAGAGGCCTGATGCGCGAAATTTGTGCAAGAGTAGGCCTTCGCAGCTCCGGCTGCCTCAGGCCAAGGCGGTAGCCCCAGCAGCTGCCTTAGCCCTCGTAACTGTGGCTTCATCTGGAAGGTCGTCTGGACAGTCGTTCTGCTGTTTGCCCGTTCGGTCGATTTGCATATTACACTTTTATTACTATAGACTATGGGGCTCGAAGGGCATCTGCGGAGTGAGTAGGGTCCCTCAGGCAGGTGGGGTCCCTTGGCCTGGCCTACGGGGATCAGGCTGAAACCGGCAGCCCAACATCCCCCGAGGGGCTCGTGAGAGGGCACTCTGCAAAGTTGCTGTCGCTCGGCAGTTCCTGTGTTGAGCATCTATGTAGTCAGTGCGTGTCATACCTACTGGCCAGTTGGCTGGTTGGCTGCTCATTTAGCCTTTTATATATAGAGATTTTTCTTGATTTCAGACAAGGGAGAGGAAGATAGAAATACCAATGATGAGAGAGAATCATTGATCGGCTGCCTCCTACTTGCCCCCTACAGGGGATCAAGCCCACAAAGCAGCCATGTACCCTCACTGGGAATTGAACCGTGACCTCCTGGTTCATAGGTTGACTCTCAACCACTGAGCCACGTTGGCCAGGCCAAGCTGTGTTTCTTAGCTGGTTGCAGGATGCTGGGTGAGCATCAGGGACTCGCCAGCCAGGACCCTGCGTGAGGGCTCAGACTGGCTGGGGTGCTGGCATGCCACAGAGCCGGGAGCATGGGGTGGGGCAGAGGCCTGGTGGCTGCTGCTGCGCGTGCAGGCGCCCTCAGGAGCGGCACTTCTCCTCGGTGTGTCTTTGTGCCCCTGCGCAGCGGGAGGGCGGCGCTCTGGAGTGGGGTGTGCCTTATGGAAGGATCATAGGGTGTGGAGTCACACAGGCCGGGGAAGAGTCCAAGCTTCCTGCCTGTGCAACCTTGGGCCGGTGAGCTAGCCTCCATGAGCCTTAGTTTCCACATCTCTCAAATGGGAGAAATAGAATTTGGGTACGGCCTGGCTGGTGTGGCTCAGTAGTTGAGCATCAACCTATGAACCAGGAGGGTCACGGTTTGATTCCCAGTCAGGGCACATGCCCAGGTTGCAGGCTCGATCCCCAGTGTGGGGCGTGCAAGAGGCAGCCCATCCCTGATTCTCTCTAATCATTGATGTTTCTGTCTTTCTCCCTCACCCTTTCTCTCTGAAATCAATAAAAATCTCCTATATAATAAAAGGCTAATATGCAAATAGTCGCCATGCCCTCACGCATAACGACCGGTCAGCAGGAGGCTGCGTGTACAGCAGGCGTGCGTGGGTGGGTGGGGCTGTGTGTGACTGGTTTCATCACTGGAGCACCTCTCAGTCCCTCCCCCGGCACCTCCTCCCTCTGGTTCCCGCCGGCTCCCGCGGAAGTGGTGGGCGGCATACTGTGTGCAATTTTGCGTGCTGGGCCACTGCTATTTTAAATAAAAAGAATTTGGGTATATAGAGTGATGGGCATACACCTAGCACAAGGGAAATAATAGTCATTATTATAGTTACTGACCTCACTGATAGCTGCCCTGCCCGGTCTGTGATTCAGAGGATGTAGGTAAAGGGTGTGTCCTTATGGGGGCCAGGCCTGGGTCAGGAGGCATGTGGCAAGGGCAGGATGAACATATTGTGAGGATGAGGGGCGGCGGGGCTGGCGTCTGGTGGGTGAGCCCGGGCTCTCCTTTGGGATTTCCCAGGGAGCCATGGCAGGGCTGGAGGGGGCCAGACCTGGGCGCCTTCTCTACGTGGATGATGGACCAGCTGACGGGAGACTGCCCAGTGCACGGTGACCCGCATCCACTCCGTCACCGCTGTGTGGGCTGGTGTGTCCCGTGGGCCGACACCCAGGAGGCGTGAACAGTCATTAATGCCTCTGGCTGAAATGCCAGCCCTGGTTTGTGGCGTCCCTGTGACAGCGGGTGTCGCTCCCATGCACCCAGACCAGGAAAAGCCCGCATTCTTCTTTCATCCTGGGTTTAGGTTCCAACCCTTTGCTGCTCTTTAAAAGAAATCTCTGAGGTTAAGTAAGGCAGTTGCTGGACTAGCAGAAGGCATTTCTTTACCCCTCAAAAGTGCACCTGGCACTTTTCCTAAATGCGTGCGGCATGACATGGGTTTTGTTTCCTAATAATTTCTGTATTTCCTTGTAGCGTGGAGACATTTCAAGAGACACTCAAGGAACTTCTGAGGACGGAGTGGTTTTTCAGAAATGTGCGGTGGTGAGTGCTCGGAGGGGGCTCACGCTCGGAGGGAAGATAATTGGGTTTTGCCCACATCATCGATGAGCGAGGTGACGCATTTAAGAACGGGGAGACCGCAGGGTTAGCTACCCAGGTCTGGGCACGTGAGTGATGAGCTGACATGACGAGGGATTTACATCTTATTTCACCAGGGCTAAGTTTTTTGGTGACGATGAAATTATTGTTAGTGAAAATCCACTGGGATCGCTTAGCGTAGGTTTTCACATGGCTGTGGTGCTTGACAGTTTAAAGAGTTATTTACCATCTTCTAGGTCTTTCATCCTACGAGACGGCTTTTGCATCATCCTGTGGTGGGGCCCGCAAGCCACCCTCAGGCTCAGTGGTTCAATAGAAGGCATTACCATCCTAGCCAGTTTGCTCAGTGGGTAGAGCATTGGTTCCTGGACTGAAGGGTCGCTCCCCATTCAGGGGCATGTGCCTCAGTTGCAGGCTCGGTCCCCGGCCCTGATTGGGGCATGTGCAGGAGGCCACCAGTTGATGTGTCTCTCTCACCTCTGGGTTTCTCTCTGTCTCTCCCCCTTCCTTACACTCTCTAAAAATCAATGGGAAAATACCCTCGAGTGAGGATTAACAAAACAAAACAAAATAAAACAAAACTAAACAAACAGGAGGCCTCACAGAACTCAGCAAAGGGCTTGTGCTCAGCAAAGGAAAACACGTGGGGCAGCGTTCTGGAGGGATAGCTGCCCGCTGCCCTCTCCTGGAGAATTGAATGGACAGCGTTTAATTTTCCAGTGAAGCGTGACATCAGCCAGGGACGCTCACCTGAGCCTTGGTGTCCCGGATTTATATTGGGGTGGGTCAGCTACTGAGTCTCCAGCCCCCCCAGAGGTCATCATGACACAGCAAGGCCCGAGGCCCCCACCAGGAATCGAACTCCCTGTTGTAGTCTGAGCCCACAGGTATCCACAGGTGTGTGAACACCCCCTTCCAGGCGGTGTTCCAAGGGCGTTGGAGGTCAGTCCCGCAGGAGCTGGTCCAGGACCAGCCTTCCCTTGGGATGTGCAGGGTGGGGCAGCCTGAGCCCTCTGAGCGAACCCCTGTGCACAGCCCTCATCCTGTCCTAGGCCCGAGGGTGTCCTGTGCCCTGCCCCCTACAATGAGTGCTCCAGTCCCTCCATGTCCTAGGATGTTTTCTCCACGTGCATGCAATCTTAAGTGTGCATGTGTGTACTTGTGTGTATCTGGACACACACCTTCCTCTTCCCCCTACACAGGTGGTATGCACGGCACAGTCTCCAACCTGCTTTCTGCACTTGTATCCCTGAGTCACTTTCCTGGGGACATGCCAGGCAAAGGAGGGGTAGGGAGGGTGGCAGATGAGTTAGAGAGGGGAGCAGAGCAAGCTTGCAGAGCCCGGGTGGGGAGCCCAGCTGTTGGGCACTGGCTGCTTCCAACAGCCAAGCCGGACGTGGCCGGGCAGAACCTGAAGGGGCACAGGCCTGCAGGCAGGAGCCCAGCTCGGGCGACGCTGGAGACCAGGTGGCAGGCAGAGGCCCCGGGCAGGCTCTGGGGCCAACTCTTCAAAATCAGGGAGTGAGACAGCCCACTGTTGGCTTTTCTCGGTGGCACCCAGTGTCGCTCTCCCCAGCCTGACTTTGGTTCTGTGCCGGGATGCTTTCTCCGTAGGAACGATTTCACCGCATCCCAGGGTCCCGGTTACTGCAAACTGTCGCCAGGCCACAGCTTGGCTGTGCCAGGACTCTCCCGGGCCTCTGTGATCAGCCTGGGGAATGTGAGACCCTCATGCCCTCTGTCCTAGGGGCGTTTTGTGCCATGTGCATGCAAGTATGAGCGGGTGCACACGTGTGTGCGCCTCCACATATGTATACACACGTGCATGCGTACACGGACCTCTGCCTGACCTAACGCGCCCAAGTCGAGCCGGAGCACCATTTTAGGGAGAGGGCCTTCTCGCTGAATCTGCCCTCCCTCCATCCCGCCCAGGTGTCGGGGCCGAGCGTGGCACAGACGGCCCAGGTGCGTCTGCTGGTGAACAACACCGCGGGGCCGGGGGCCGCCGACCTGTCGGATCTGCTTTTGCTCGACAACATCACCGGCCTCGCCGTCAGGGAGTCGGCGGGAAACAAGACGTCGGCTGGGCTGCAGGCCTTCAGGCAGCGGTTTCTGCAAGGTGGTGGCGGCGGGGCCGGGCAGGGAGGGAACAGCAGGCCCTCCGAGCACAGGCGTGCGCTTAGACACAGCACACGTGTTCTCCCAGTTAGTCCTCCCGGCGGATGGGCCGTCAGAGGAGGGGACCGCCTTCCAGTATCAGCATCTGACAGGCTGGATTTGTTACTTCACTTACAGGGAGAGGGGATTTGGGGTAAGAGTCTTTAAAGTATTATATATATTCCATTCTTTTTTTTAAAAAAGTATTTTTATTGATTTTAATGAGGAAGGGAGAGGGAGAGAGAGATAGAAACATCAGTGATGAGAGAGAATTATTGATCGGCTGCCTTCTGCACGCCCCCCACTGGGGATCGACCCCGCAACCCGGGTGGGCATGTGCCCTTGGCCGGCATCGAACCTGGGACCCTTCAGTCCACCGGCCGATGCTCTATTCACTGAGCCAAACCGGCCAGGGCTATATTTCATTCTTATCTCAAACATGAGCAAAAATGGATTTATAGTGAACTCCAGTGCATCCATCACCCACATGACCAAAATTGCCATCATTCGGTAAGCAGAGCCCGTTCCAGGATATGCTAGAGAGAGGTGTAAGTACAGAGAGATGGAGCCCATGCTAGGCTGGTATAGCCTGTCACACAGGGAGGCGAAGTTGGAGGGCATGCGTACGTAAGACCTGCAGGCCCTGGCTTGGCGCCGCTTGCTGTGCGCAGACCCCGGGAGACAGACGCCGTCTGAGGCAGTGCTGGGAGGGGGGGGAGGGGCAGGTATGACATCACTGGAGCAGAGAGGGGCTCCTGCCCCTGGCACCTGCCCAGAGCCCCTTCCAAGGAAAAGCCAGGCGCCAAGGATGGGCATGCTCTCCTCGCTAAGGCTCCCCTGCTGCCCACGTGGGCTTCGGTGGCCACCTCCTCTTGAAGACGTGGGTGTCTGGGGTGTGGTGGGACATGGGTGTCTGGGGGTATCGGGCATGGCTGTCGGGGTATTGGGCGTGGCTATCTGTTGGTGGTGGGACATGGGTGTCTGGGGTGAGGTGGGCATGGCTGCGTGACCCCTGTGCCTTCTCTCTGAGCAGTTGGAGACTCCTTCTCAGTCAGCTACACAGCCTCGCTGGAGGCCGGGGACCGTGGGCGTGGAGAGGTCCTGGTGCTGCCGGCGCTGCTCACCTTCCGGAGCGCCTCCGCGGTGCGTATGGCTGCGTCGCTCTGCTGTCTGCCTGCTCACTGCCCGGGAGGTGGTTTTAGCAACATCCACACACAGGGCACACGATCTGTTCCTCCCTTCCTCCCTTCCTCCCTCCCTCCCTCCTTCCTTCCCTGCCTTCCCCCTTCAATGACATCAAATTCCGGATAAGTGCACAGGCCCAGGCATCTCACACACTTTGCCGAGAGCCTGGGGCCCTGAGCCCCTCGTTATGACCCCGCTTGATCACTGAACGCCGTGGGCCTGCGGCAGACTTAGGAGGATCACTAATACTAGATTTTGATGCTCGTGCCGTGCCGTGCCGTGCGCAGAACGAGCATCCAGCCAGTGGCCTTCGCCCTGGTTGGTTTGCGGGAGCTGCATGACCAAGTGTGGCGGATGAGATGGCTTAAAACAGCAACTTATACCCTCACACCCGGAGGCTGGAGTCCGAGGTCAGGGTGTCCGCAGGGTGGTTCCCTCTGAGGCCTGTCCCTCTGTGTCCTCCCCTCCTCATAAGGCCACCAGTCCCACTGGACAGAGCCCACCCTGATGGCCTCAGATGACCTTAATGACCCCTGAGAGGACCCTATCTCTAATCACAGTCACATCCTGTCTCACTGGTGAAGGGCTTCACCCTGGGGGTTTGGGGGAGGAGGGAGGGCGGGGCACGATTCAGCCCATGCATTCATGCGTGTGGCAGGCGCTGTGCACACCCTGGGGGCCTTGGAGGGGGAGGTTCTGTCCTTGTCCTCAAGCAGCTCCCGTGCTAGTTGCTTTGGCCATTCAGTCCTGGCGTCAGCCCTTGGAGAAGGGATATTCACGGGCCTGGGAAACAAGACCAGAGGGGACGCCCAGGTCACAGGGCAGCGGCCGACTCAGACCCAGACCCACAGCTGCCGGGCCCTCGCATCCGAGGCTGACGGGCCTGCGTGTGGCGTTGCTGCTGCAATAAGGGGAAGATTCCAGAAGGGAAGGGCTGGATACAAGAAAATGATAGGAAACCGTTGGAAAAGACAAATCTCTCAGAAAATAATTCAGTACATAGTCAAGGACGGAGGACAGAGAAGAGTAAAAAATAGAGATAAAACGGCCTAGAAGAAGCACTCCCGATGTCAGAGGCCTGGCAACCGGGTGGGTTAAATCAAGTCCCAGATGACAGGGTTGTCAGAGCCAACATTGCAGCTCGGGGCGGTGGCAGCGCAGCCCCGGGTCCTGCAGGGAGGGCCCGGCTGCGCCTCTGACTTCACGCGCTGATGGACCCTGTTTCCCAGCCCGGAGTGTTTGCCCTGAGCCTGGGTGAGGGCGGACGTTTTCCAGGGCGAAGACCAGCTCCGCGGCGCTTGAAGCTCCTGTCTGCTTGGGCCTTGGGTGTCGGAAGACAGGGCGGGGCCCGAGGGAGAGGAGCGTGCAGTGTGAGCCGGTTAGGACCTGGCCGTCGCGCTCGGCCGCAGCTGGCCGCCAGTGACTCAGTGAGGACACGGGGTAGGAGCCACAGCGCCTCTGGAGAGCAGGCAGCTTCCCAGGTCCCACCTCCCGCCCTGATGGGACTAAGACCCCTGCACGCTCTGACACCCCAACAGTCAGGCCCCGTTGGGCTCTGGGCACAGTGGGTGGGAAGTACAGCAAACGTTACCCCACGGGTCAGACTCCAAAACCCGCTGTCCAACACGTTTTTTGTTTGTTTGTTGTCTAGAACAGAACACAGCTGAAAGCCCTGCTCACCATCACAGCAGAGGAAACAGTAACGGTAAGAGGAAGTTCCAGCCTGGGCGCTCCTGCTGCCCCGGGTGTGTTTATGCCCATGGGGTGCAGTCCCCTCTCAGAACCTGGGGGTGGCCGTGCCCCACAGCAGGCTGGGGCTGCGTGCATCTGAGGACCCAGGGGCAGGGCTCCTGGGGGAAGGTCCGCTGAGGCCGGAGCCCGAGAGTCGGCTGTGGCACGAAGACTACAGCCAGGCTGCCGGCTGTGCATCCCAGGCCCACTGCGGACCAGCTCTGGGTTACATGCGTGTCTGTGTGCATAGATATTATTTTTACTTAAATGAAATTGGAATTTTCTTGTGTATATAGTTTTGTATCTTCTTTAAAAATGTTACATTAGGACATAAGTATTATGCTATTAAAAATCCAGCACACACAAATCAGTTGCATGTCTGTCCACTTACAATGAACAATACAAAAAGGAAATTATGAAAACAATTTCATTTACTGTAGCATCAAAGAGAATCGGGTACTGGGGAAGAAACTTAACCAAGAGGAGAAAGACTTGTACAGTGAGCACCACAAAGTGCCGCTGAGGGAAATGAGAGGAGACACAACTAAGGGTTAGGCCATCCGTGCACGAGGACCGGAAGACCTCATGTTGTTCTGATCTGCAGATTCAATGCAATTTCTGTCAAAATGCCAACGGCATCTTTTTGTAGAAATAGGAAAACCCATCCTAAAATTCATATGGACTCCCAAGGAACTCTGAATTGCCAAAATAACCTAAAAAAGAACAAAACTGGAAGTCATACACTTCCTGACTTCATAACGTACCACAAAGCTACAGTCATCAAACCTGCAGGGTACTGGCATAAAGACAGACATGGACCAATGGAATAGAATCAGAAGCCCAGGGTAAAACCTCACATGTATAGTCAAATGATTTCCAACAAGAGCGACAAGACCATGCGATGGGGGCAGGGACAGTCATTCCAACAAGTGATGTTGGGGAAACTGGATCTCCACATGCACAAGAATGAGGTTGAGCCCTTATCTTACGGCATCTACCAAAATTAGCCCAAAATGATCAAAGACAAATGTAAGATCTAAAACTATGAAACTTAGAAGAAAACATAGCGGGAAAGCTTCATGGCATTGGATTGGCAATGATTTCTTGGCTATGACACCAAAAGCACAGGCAACAAAAGGAAAAATCGATAAACTAGACTTCTCTTAAGGCAGTGGTTCTTTTGCGCCCTTTAATACAGTTCCTCATGTTGTGACCCAACCATAAAATTATTTTCGTTGCTACTTCATAACTGTAATGTTGCTACTGTTATGAATCGTATTGTAAATATCTGATATGCAGGATGGTCGCGACCCACAGGTTGAGAACCGCTGTCTTAAGGGCACCAGCTAGTAGGTGGCAAGCTGGGTCCAACCCCAGCTTGGTCTCGCTGACTCCATCCGTGTTCTGCTATAAGGAAGTTGTAGCTCAACTTGAAAGATGTAACGTATGACCGCAGGTGAATCCCTGTCACGCTCTTGTCCCCGTAGGTTCTACCAAACCACGGCCTTCACGCAGCCGGCTTCTTTGTGGCCTTCATCGTCTCCCTTGTGCTGACCTGGGTCACGCTTTTCTTCATGGTTCGCTATCAGTGTTTCAAGAGAAGCATGTTCACCAGGTATCAGGTGAGTCTCCGTGCGCATCTTCTTCCCGGGGGGGCGTTTGCTTGGTGATGGTTGTGAAGTTGAAGTTTATCCTCCAGTTCAGTGGGTCTCAATTCCGGGTGGACATCAAAATCCCCTGGGGAACTACGGACAAGCGCTCATGTCCAGGCCCCTGCGAGTGGCCAGTGCGGAGAACCCCTGCGATCTGGCTGAATAACTGAGTGCCCACTTGTGTGGCCAGCTCCGTCGTCTTGTCACACCCTAACTCAGGTCCTGTTCCACACTCCCCGCTGAAATGCCGTTGGAGACCCACTTCATCCTCAGGGGGAAGCCCGGGCTCCCTGGCATGGCTTATACGGCCCCCGGGCCCTGCCTCTGCCCACCGCTCCTGCCACGTTCCGCCTCACACTGCAGCCGAACCCTCCCCCCGTGACTTGGCATTCTCTGGGAGTGCCGAGCCCTCCAGCTCGCCTCAGGGCTTCTTCGGTCTCCGCTCCTCATTGAGCCTAATTTGGACCTGTCCTTTAAGACTCAGCTCGGGCCTTGCCTGTCCCTGGAAGTCAGCACTGGCCACTTCCTGGCTGAATTAGGGGCTTCTCCCTGGTTTCCCACACTAGGTTCTGCAGACCCCATGCAGCACTTCCCTCATCTGTTGGGCCCCTCTGAACTCCTCAGTCTCCGTATTCCTGTCTTGGTCTGGGTTCCCCTAGAAGCACATCCTGAGACCAGGATCCAAATTCCGGATAGTTTATATGTGAAGGGACCCCAGGGAGTAATGGTGAGGGCTGGGGGAGCAAGGCAGGAAGGAAGGCAGCCCATCCAGTTACCCCTGTGGGCACCTGGAGCTTTATTGTGCTCAGGAACTCTGGGGACGGTGGAATGAACCTCAGGGAAGGAGCTGGGGTATTTATCCACCAAGGCCCAATGGTTACTGGTTGAGGCCAAGGTGGGGGGCAAGGTGAAGGGTGGTATTTCCCAGGCCCGGGTCTGAAGGCTGGTGGATCTTGGGCTGGTAGGCACTGAAGTGTCAAGGGTGAGGGAACATGGGCAGAAAACAGATGGTGCCTGCTACATCCCCATTGCCCACGACAGAGCCTGGTGCCTAGAAGGCACTCAGTACATGTGTGAAGGAATGAATAGGGCCTCAGGCAAGCAGTCACTTCTATCTTACAATTCTGTGTTCTGATCAGAAAACTGCCAGATTCTTGATGTGGAAGTCATTCGCCGACTATAATTTTCCTTTACATGATGATGGTGATGGTGGTGATGGTGATGATGATGATGGCGATAGTGATAGTGATGATGATGGTAGTGATGGTAGTGATGATGGTAGTGATGGTGGTGATGATGATGGCGATAGTGATTATGATGTTGGTGATGGTGATAGTGATGATAGTGGTGATGATGATGGTGGTTCCTCCCTTCCTATGATGAGTGATGATGATGTTGGTGATAGTGATGATGATGATGGTGATAGTGATTATGATGTTGGTGATGGTGACGATAATGGTGATAGTGATTATGTTGGTGATGGTAATTATGATGTTGGTGATAGTGATGATGATGATGATAGTGATTATGATGTTGGTGATAGTGATGATGATGGTGATAGTGATTATGATGTTGGTGATGGTGATGATAATGGTAATAGTGATTATGTTGGTGATGATGATGATGATGATGATGGTGATGGTGATAGTGATTATGATGTTGGTGATTGTGTAGTGATGGTGATGATGATGGTGCTGGTGATTATGATGTTGGTGATTGTGTAGTGATGGTGATGATGACGGTGATAATGATTATGATATTGGTGATGGTGATGATGATGCTGTATTGGAGAAAGCAGGACAGCACTCATTGAGTGAGAGGAGCTCTGTGGGACTGCTGCCGAAGGCACTGCTGGGAGTCAGTGCTTCTTCAGGGCCATGGAGGGCTGGAGCTGCTGTTACCCAGAGGCCCAACAACTTGGAGGAACAGCTATCATCTTTCTCCCTCTTTATGTTGGGGAAACTGAAGCCCGTGAAATTAAACAACTTGCTTTAAGTGGCCAAATGTAGGCTGGCTTTTGGAAGTCCCCTCTCTCTGGAGGCTGGAAGGCTTGCCCCCTTGTTCACTTTGCTTCTGCTTCCCCAGAGGAAAGAATTGTCGTTTCAGTGTGAGGTCAGCCCACAATCTCCTTGGCAGCAAGAGTGAGGAGAAAAATGGCCATCTCCTCAGGCGTCCTGCTCACTCTCCCGAAGCTGTTATCAGTCACAGAAGAACAAAACTCATCCTTCACTTTGATGTAGGAGCAGGATTCATTTCCTGAAGATTAAAGGCTGATCATTACAACTGCGGAGAGGAAAGCAAAGTGTGAATTTGATTTAAGGTTGAAAACACTTATGGTATTTTTTTTCCTGCGGCACAGAATGAAATCTTTTCACATTTTTCTTCGTTTTTGCAAGCATGGTGGCAACCGATAAGACATTATGTAAAACAGAAGCCTTTAGGGTTAGATTGTCTTGGGATCAAATACCCACTTGGCCCTTTATGATCTATGTCAACTCACATGTTATTTCACCTCTCTGAGCTGCAGGTTCCTCATATGTAAAGTGGGGGCGACAACACTTATTGTGTTGTGATAGTTTCATGATATAACACATACAAGGCCCTGGGGCAGGAATTATTGTTAAATGTTAGCTATAGTTATCACCCATTTCTGCAGAATTAATATTGAGGACTGCCAGAAGCCAATTCCAGCAGGTCATAATTGCAAGAGTTTCATCAAAAGGTTCATGGAACTTGGGGACTCAACAAGGGCTGAGTCACAGATGTTGTCACCTATTGGGAATGGCTGATGGCATTTCCCCAAACCTGAAAAGGGATGATGAACAGCCGTAGGCTAATTCTCCCCATTCTGACAATAGACTCTGTATACGAAACCCTGACCCTCTGAAGTGTGTAGCTCCACCTCGCCTCAGGACAATTTGTGTTAATAAAAAGCATGGTGTCCTGAGACAAGGAGATCTTAGTTCCTTTTAGCTAAGCTCCTCTGACCCCCATATGCCTTTCAAAATTATGCTTCGTCTTTAGACCCTTTAAGTTACACACAGCCTTCTCCAGATTGCTGAACCCTTCTAGATGCTGGATCAAGAACCACGGCAGGGCCGAAACCGGTTTGGCTCAGTGGATAGAGCGTCGGCCTGCGGACTGAAAGGTCCCAGGTTCGATTCCGGTCAAGGGCATGTACCTGGGTTGCGCGCACATCTCCGGCGGGGGATGTGCAGGAGGCAGCTGATCGATGTTTCTCTCTCATCGATGTTTCTAACTCTCTATCTCTCTCCCTTTCTCTCTGTAAAAAATCAATAAAATATATTAAAAAAAAAAAAAAAAAAAGAACCACGGCAGGGACAAAACAGACGTGTCATCGATCCCATCAGAGGGTTGGGCTTAATTATTTCTGATGTCACTTCAATCTTACAATTGTATATGCTGATTAGAAACCTGGCAAATTCATGATGTTGAAGTCCATCTGCCATCTGTAATTTTTCTCTACCCGATGGTGATGCCGATGATGTTGGTGATGGTGAGGATATGATGGTGGTAGTGATGGTTATGATGATGGTGGTGATGGTGAGGATATGATGGTGATAGTGATGCTGATGATGATGATGATGATGGTGGTGATGGCGAGGATATGATGGTGATAGTGATGCTGATGATGATGATGATGATGGTGGTGATGGCGAGGATATGATGGTGATAGTGATGCTGATGATGATGATGATGATGGTGGTGATGGTGAGGATATGATGGTGATAGTGATGCTGATGATGATGATGATGATGGTGGTGATGGTGAGGATATGATGGTGATAGTGATGCTGATGATGATGATGATGATGGTGGTGATGGTGAGGATATGATGGTGATAGTGATGCTGATGATGATGATGATGATGGTGGTGATGGTGAGGATATGGATGGTGATAGTGATGATTATGATGGTGGTGGTTATGGTGACAATGATGGTAATGATGTGGTAGTGGTGATGGTGGTGAAGGTGATGATAATGGTATTGTGATGGTGATGGTGAGGATGGCGATGGTGGTGGTGTTGTTGGTGATGATGATGGTGATGGTGGTGATGGTGAAGTATTTGTATAGGTCTTGACTGGTTGCAAAGGTTGGCAAACTGCGGCTCATGAGCCACATGCGGCTCTTTGGCCCCTTGAGTGTGGCTCTTCCCACAAAATACCACGTGCGGGTGCACACATGCACAATGCGATTGAAACTTCGTGGCCCATGCACAGAAGTCGGTATTTTGTGGAAGAGCCACACTCAAGGGGCCAAAGAGCTGCATGTGGCTTGCGAACCGCAGTTTGCCAACCACAGGTCTATCCATTCATTGCTTTGCTTTAGCCACGTCACTCTGTGCAGGGCTCCTGGAATTATGATCCTATTTCTTTGATGAGTTTACCCTGCTCACAGAGGTGAGGCCTATGAGTCCCCACCTTCCCTCCTGACTTTCCACACGCGATATTCGCGACAAGGCCTACTCAGTTGTTTCTGTAATTCTCCCGAAGGCTCGGCATCAGGAGAGCAGGCTGGAGCACTCCCAGTTCACGGCGGCCGGCGGTGTGAATGAGGATCTGGCTCTGAATGACCAGATGATCGGCATCCTGTCCTCAGAGGACCCCGGGAGCATGCTGCAGGCCCTGGAAGAGTAAGAATTCTAATCCCATGATGCTTTCTTAGCTGTGGTGAGTGGCTTAACGGGAGAGGCATGAGAGCAGCGAACGCTGGCCACGTTTCATTCATTCATGAACTCATGCAGTCACTCATTACTCAGTGGTCATAATTGAGCAACTGCCATGCACTGAACGCTATGCTTGGTACTTGGGAGAAGAGGTGAATGAGACTCGTTTGTGCTATGAGACAGGCTGACCTAGTGCCCGTCAGAGTTTGATGAGCAGCACGCTACGGGGAAGATCAGGGCCAGCTGAGCCCAAAGAAGTGATTGCCTCTGAGAGGGTTACGGGAATGCTCTCCAGAGCAGGTGGTATTATTATTATTATGTTAATATATTTTTATTGATTTCAGAGAGGGAGGAAGAGAGAGAAAGAGAAACATCAATGATGAGAGAGAATGTTTGATCGGCGGCCTCCTGCACGCTCCACACTGGGGATTGAGCCCACAACCTGGGTATGTGCCCTGACCGGGAATCGAAACATGACTTCCTGGTTCATAGGTCATTGCTCAACTACTGAGCCACACCGGCCAGGCTCCCTGACTGATTTTTGACAAAGGGCATTTGCTTGGCTTGCGTGGCTGTTTCTCTGGAGGCCAGCTCTGCGGAGAGGACTTGAGGAGGGGATATTTCCTTAGATTGTTGTTGTTGTTAATCCTCGCCCAAGGATATTTTTTCCATTGATTTTTAGAGAGAATGGAAGGGAGGCAAGGAGGGGAGGGGAGGGGGGAGGGGGCACATCGATTGGTTGCTTCCCTCATGATTGAACCTGCAACCCAGGTCCGTGCCCTTGACCGGGGATTGAACCTGTAACCCTTAGGTGTGCGGGCCGATGCTCTACCAGCCCGGGCTCCTTTGAAATTTATATTAGGCTCCCTGACTGTTGCCCTGATGGAGGTGGCTCAGCCCCAGCATGCTGGGACAGGAGGAAGGAGGAACGGGGCGCCACTGGCTGGTCCCAGCAGGGTTTGAGCTCGGGCCTCGCTCTGGCCTGACCACCGCCGACCACCTCTTGTCCGAGATCTTCCTTAATTCTGGCAGCAACTCTCGGGGGAGGCTGATGCTCAGAAAGGTTTGTTGGTTTTGCCCAAGGTCACACGTGGTCATGGGTTTGGGCCCCGGCCTGATACAACAGCTTTTTAAAGAGCCTGAACTTAGGTTTTCCCAGCGAGGCAAGGAAAATGAGAACGGAGTTCCAGGCCTGCGTTTGCTTCCTGTTCCTCTGGGAGGCCTGTATCACACGCTTATTGCCGCCTTTTGATGCGGCCAGCACCGCCTCTGAGCTCTCAGAATTGTGCTTCGTGGAAGCGGGGGTTCCGGGAGCCGTTGCTGAACGGCGCCTGTTGGAAACGGGTCTGTGCCGCCGTGGGGTGTGCTCCTGTGACCGCTCTTGCGTCTATAGAAACACCCCGAGCCGTGGCTTTGTTCCTCCGCTCAGCCCTGAGGCCGCTCGCCCCGGTCTCCGTTGTTCGCTTGTCCTTTGGTTGGGTTCTTGGTTCGCGGTGCGGTGATTTCCAGGTGGATCGCTCAGACAGCAGCTCCCGCGGGGCCCCTTCTGCGTGGGCCCGGTGGCAGGCTGCGGGGTGCTCCAGAGTCCTGGCTTCTGTCCCCACCAAGTTCACGACAAAATACAGGCGTGACCCCGGCAGCTGCGCACGCGTCCCCGTGGCCAGGGCAGGGCAGCAGCGGGAATGGCTGCTCTAGTTCGGGGTCAGGGAGGTCCCTCCAAGGGAGGGTCGGCTGCATGGAGGCTTCAGTGATGGGCACTCCGTGGGGGGCAGCATGTGCAGAACTCAGGGGGTGGCATTTGACGATCAAAAAGAGGACAGGACAGCCCGGCCAGTGTGGCTCAGTGGTTGAGTGTTGACCTATGAACCAGGAGGTCACGGTTCGATTCCCAGTCAGGGCACAGGCCCGGGTTTCAGGCTCCATCTCCAGTGTGGGGCGTGCAGGAGGCAGCGGACTCATCATTGATGTTTTTATATGTCTCTCCCTCTCCCTTCCTCTCTGAAATCAATTTAAAAAATATAGTAAAAAAAGAAGCCAGGGCCGGTGGCA